TGAAAGATGAAAGAAATACGAAAAAACACTTATTATGCACCGATTCTGTGAAACCTATGCGACGTTGTTATGTCGCAGTTGTGTCACATAATAATTTTTTCGACTAATAGTCGCAGATTCATTCGCCTAACAAGAATAATTATTTAATGGGCGACGGACTGCGATTGACCGAATCGTACATCGAATCTCCGCATATTCGTCGCAGACCAGTCGCATACTTTAACTCATAATTTTCTCGCCTATGCTCATACCGGTCGTCTATCTATCGCATATCTCTTCGTGCTTTCTGTGGTGAAAAACTTAACTTTTTATTGGGTGGTGTGAAAAACTTTGCAGGACTTCAAAACGGGGTGAAAATAGCTACTTTCTCATTTTAAAATTGGTCCTATAACTTGGCCACTGTCTAAAAACCCACCCCGATATTGACCACTTTCAATTTAAGTCCTATAAATTGTCATATTATTTCTGGGACCAGAATGAAGTTTCTGGGAAATCCCAAAAATCGATTTCTGGGTGCAGAAATGAGATGATCCAGAAATTGATTTCTAGGTCCAAAAATCGATATTTCTAAACCAGAAATCAATTTTTGTGTCTAGAAACAAGATTATCCAAAAATCGATTTCTGGGACCAAAATGATTTATAGTCGAGAAATCAATTTCTGCATAATCTCGTTTTTGGAACCAGAAAACGAAACGAGATGATTCAGAAATCGATTTATAGGTCTAGAACTCGATTTCTGGTCCAGAAAGGTGATTTCTGGGTGCAGAAAATAGATGATCCAAAAATGGATTTCTGTGCCCATAAATTTCTGGGCCCAGAAATCAATTAATGTTCAAAGAAATCGATCTTTGCAATTTTTCTTTTCTTTTTTTTTTTGCAATATTCATGTTATTAATTTGAATAGTATATATGTGACCCATTGAAAAAAAAAATAAGTTATTTCTGGGCCCATAAATCGTTTATGTTCAAAGAAATCGATCTATGCAATTTTTTTTCTTTTTTTTTTGCAATATTCATGTTATTAATTTGAATAGTATATATGTGATCCATTGAAAAAAATAAGTTATAAACATACCTTTACACTAATATTTCCCGAGATATCACCGGAATGTTGCCGGAATTTTAAAAATATTGAGAGAATGAATTTTTTTGTTAAGAGAATGAATTTGTTTTTTTAGAAGAGTGAATGAAATAGATAAATGAAGAGAGAAGTGAATGAAATTGGAAGTGAATGAAGAGAGAAGAGAGATGTGAGAAGAGAGAAGAGAGAGATCATTTTTTTAAAATGATAGTAGGGTTATTTTTGTTTTTTAGGTGCCAAAATGGCTAAAAAAGAGGTTTTT